ATTTATATAGTGCCCCTCAGGGAGGATAGAATCCCAGAGCTTCTCTTTCTGCTGTCTGTTCACCGAGCAGACAAACAGGTAGATAGAGATAGGGTGACTGAGAGAGAGTCAGCGAAAGACATCAGAAAAGAATGAACGACGGAGACAGCAACACTGAGTGGAGTAAGAAAACAGACCACCAATAAGTTTTTACAAAATGGCAATCAAGCTACACCCAGAGCAGAAACATAAAATGATAATGGGAAGGACTCTTAATACACAGATTCTGATTATTATTACATTATCATTGCCGGACTCCGGTTGCCTGCAACAAGTCGTTTAGAAAAATTAGAAATTTGCGGCCAAGGTCGATTAAGGAAAGAGAACATACCCGGTGCCAAGTGTAGGTAATTATGCGATTACCTTTCAGTATCAGAAAACTGGAAAGCTCTCTCTGAGAACTGGATAATGGGACACAACGAGCGCTCCACTCCGCAGTTGGCTTGTCGACAGAAACAGTCAATTTGCTGGCACCGGCACGATAAACCTTAAACTCTAGCTGATTGAAAGCGGCTGAAAACAATCGCTAGCCACAAGGATTGTAATCTGTCGGATCTCGTAGCCTCCACTTTAACTCGCAACCAGCATACCTGTGAGGCAAATCTGCAGAAAGCAGCAGAGGTAGCTGTTGCGTTAACCCTTTCTGTTCAGGAGCAGGAAGCTCAAAATAATTTTTAAGCCATAAGGATACTTGCACATTTGTTAAACGTGTTGTTGTTTTTTTGTTCTCTCGCCAGTGAGGCTCAGAATTCCAGCCTGTGGGAGCGGATTGTCAACATCGACGACAACTTGCATTCGTACATCTCCCCGTTCGCGTGGGATAACGTTTCGGAGCGCTGGGCAGTGGTCGGGTCAGACGACAAGAAGAGGGAGAATCGGGAAGACGACCGGATGCAGTCGAAGAGGCAGGTTTTTAGTGGGATTTGAAGATGGCGAATTCGACTTTTAAAAAAAATTGCCTCCTTCAAGATCCTCCTCTTCGCCTGAGCCTCCTATTCCCTCCTGATCACAAACCCCAATTCAGGTCCAAATCGCTGACGCTCCAGCCTGGGATGTCCTTCTGACGTGAAAGCCGCTATACAAATGCAATTTGTTGTTGTTGGTTTTGTTGTGGGTGGACCTCGGTCTTCTTTCCGCTTCCTTAAAGCCCAGGCGCGTTCCGATAAGCGCACCTGGTTTAAATCAAATCTAACTGTCCACCGGCAGATTTGGCTGGACCATGTCAAATCCTACCACTCCGCTCTCACCTCCACTAAATCGTCGTTCTACTCCTAGACAATCTTGGAGGCTAAGGACAACCCCAGGCTCCTCTTCACCACCACGAACCGACTCCTCCACCCACCCTCTCACGCCTCACCTCAAATGACAACTGCGAGACGATACTAGACTTCCTCGAATCCAAAGTCAAGGGAATCTGCTCAGCTGCCTCTGGCACTGCAACTGTTACCCCTTCCCCATCTCCCCCTCCCAGCCCCTACCCACCCCTCCCTTCACACCTTTGAACCTATCTTCCCCTCCGCTCTCACCACCACCATAACCCGTATGAAACCCACCACCTTGCTAAGCCAGACTTCCTGCCGACGTGACAGGTGCTATACAAACGCAAGTTGTTGTTGTTTGTTTCTTTCCCCCGGGAGAAAAACCCCTGAGATAGACCGAGAGCAACAGAGAAAAAATGGGATTCATCCTCAGGTCCTACAAGGTGAGGACGTGACGCAGGTCAGGATTCAGGATTGAGTGACTAGAACTCGTGGTTAAGTAACATGGGGGGGGATCGCATCCCGGAGCGCTTGACAGTGGCGGAGTCTGACCCCGAGCCAGGGGGAGGGGTGAGGTGACCGTAAGCACTACCCCCCACCTCCTCTCCTTAAATTGATGTGATCACACAGTGTACCGGGTAGAGGTGTGTTGCCCTGATGGAGTGGAGGCAAACAGCAGAAGCTACACGGTGTTGTGATAGACACTGCACATGACTACCACTCTGCCACCCTCCATTTCTGTCTCTGTCTCTCTCTCTCTCCCTCTCTCTCACTCACTTTCTCCCAGCGAGGCATGGAGAGGAGTGAGGCAAGAGGGTCTCCTGGCTCCGAGGTGATGTGTCGGAATCGATCCCACCCTCTGCAGCGGTCTCCAGTCTGGTTCCTGAGGCAGGCGGGTCCACAGTATTCCAGGGCGACTCTAGCGCAATCCAGCTCATGACTCATCAATCAACAGATACGATGCTCTCACTGACAAACTATGTTGTTTTACCTACTTAGATTCCAGTTAGCTCAGTTTGCCCAAGCCTTTGTACGAGAAATAATCAATTACATTTTCTAACAATCCTTCCCTTTTGTCTTCCTCCCTTCTTTCTTCTCTCCTTCTGCGCCTCTCCCCTCTCTTTACTCTCTGCTTATTTTCTCTTTCCCCAATTCCTAACATTACCCACTCTCTCTCTCTCTCGTTCTCTCGCTGACCCGCGCCCCTCCCCCCCAAAAAAAGGTTTAATGGTCTGGATAAGATCCCCCTCTATCTCTTCAGTGACTGTGTGCCTGTGGGTCTGTACATAGTGTATCGCAGTCAACACAATGTCCTGGCTGCTCATTTCAATCTGAGTTTCTAGTCAGGACTCTACAAACCCAAACCAGTTGCGTCATTTTCAATTTACAAAAACAAGGGTCCTTGAATAAGTGCAATAGATGATGGTCAATGCTTTATTTTAAGGATGGAACCAGCAGCAGGACAGGGCTCAAGAAACACTTGTGCTCTTAACATTAAGTCACCGCATCGCCTGCTAATTTCACAACTCGTCCCTCCCGGCTCAGACGATCCCTTTGCTCCTCTGGAACTTTCCCCTCCTCTATCACCGCTCCAATCTTTCCCTCAAACTTCTCCTTATCTACTGCTCCCCCCTCTCTCTCTCGCCTGCCTCGGAGTTATCTGAACTCCTTCCCCTCTGGGCGTCCTCCTGCAATGATCTATCCTCCTCAGTCAAACTTCTCCACAGCTCCCTCCTCCACTCTCAATTCCCTCGCTCCCCTCTCTTCCTGAACTGTCTCCTACTCACGCAAATCACCCTGGTACACCAGCCACCTCCGCTCCCTTAAAGCCCAGGCACGTGTCAAATCCTACCACTCTGCCCTCGCCTCCCCTAAATCATTGTTCTACTCCAAGGACAACCCCAGGCTCCTCTTCTCCATCACAAACCGACTCCTCCGGCCACTCTCTCACGCCTCACCCATCCTCACCTCAAATGCCAACTGCGAGGCGAAGCTGGACTTACTCGAATCCAAAGTCAAGGGAATCTGCTCAGCTGCCTCTGCCAATGCAACTGCTACCCCCTCCCCATCTCCCCCTCCAACCCCAGCCCCTACCCACCCCTCCCTCCACACCTTTGAACCTATCTTCCCCTCCGCTCTCACCACCACCATAACCCGTATGAAACCCACCACCTTGCTAAGCCAGTCTGGAACCTTGGGGTCTTGTTTGACCCTTAACTATCCTTTCTACCCCACATCTGCGCCATGACCCGATCTGTCTTCCCCCACCTCTGCAACGTCGCCCGACTCCGACATTGTCTCACACCACAGGCTGCTGAAACCCTCATACACGCTTTCATTGCACTGAGGCTCGACTATGCAAACTCCCTGCTTGTCAGCCTTCCCAACTCCTCCCTCCATAGGCTGCAGATCATCCAGAACTCTGCAGTCTGTGTCCTCTCCCGCACCAGGCTCCGCGACCCTATCACCCCCATCCTTACCCGACTCCACTGGCTTCCCATCACACAGAGAATACAGTTCAAGATCCTGGTCCTCACCTTCAAAGCCCTCCACAGTCTTGCTCCCCCTGACCTCTCCGACCATCTAACCCCCCTACCACCCTATTCTCTCCCTCCGCTCAGGTGGCTCTGACCTGCTTCACGTCCCCCACCTCACTCATCCCACTATCAGCGGGTAAGCCTTCCACCACTCTGCACCCACCCTCTGCAACTCCATCCCGCAGTCCCTCCATCTCACCCCTCCCTCACCACCTTCAAGACCCACCTCAAGACCCTCCTCTTCGACCGTGCTTTCGATCTCCCCCTGCCCTCCCCGCTCCCTCCCGACCCTCAGCTCGGGTCCGTAACTCTGTCTGTCCAGCGCCTTGGGACATCCTCCCAACATGAAAGGCGCTGTAACACATGTAATTTGGTTGTTGTTGTTGTTCGTGCGACACCGCTGTACGCAAACTGGCTGCCGCGTTTCGCTCACAAGATATAGTCAATCCAATTTACAGTGTATCCCGGGAAGCTCTTTGAAACGTCTCAACGAAATGATGGGGCGCTATCTCAAATGCAAGGATTATTATTATTGTTACGTAATCCGAACGGCGGCGCCTGTGACAACGCAACAACGCTCCCCTCAGTGTCGCACCGGTGGGTCAGCGCAGACTGTGAGATGAGAGTCACAAGGAGGGTTCGAATTCAGAGAATAACAAGTGACTGCTTTACTGTAACAGTACAGAGACCTGCGTTCAATTTCCCCCTGCGGGGGGTGGGGGTGGGGAGGGGGGGGTTAGCTTGTTGCGACCCCCAATAGTATAACCAGGTAACTGCATGGAAGACCATAAAAGTTAATCCCAAGAAAATGATATAAAATTGTTTTAGAGCCACATCTGTGGCCTCACGACATTTAATCAACACTCACAGGGATTCAAAGGATCTGCCTAAGTCATTTAACATCATGTTGAGAGTTCTTCATAAGAACATAAGAATTTGCTAGAAGAAAGAAGAAAAAAAGGATAGAAAATGAACTATTTTACATTCTAATTGTGCACAACAGTGAATCCAACCAAACTGCCCCAGGAAGAACATGACACTTACAAAGATTTACAAAGATTGATTTGCTGGAGCCCCATTCGCTATAACCTTCCTGGCTGTCACGTTTCGCACTCAAGATACGCAGTCAATTCGCTTCACAGTACATTCTGTGAGGGGCTTTGAGCTGTTCTCGAAGATGTGACGAGGTGGTATATGAAAAGCAAGAATTATTAGCTCACAACTCCCAATCACGGATAGAAAACCGCCAAAAGTGATTTTGACAGGCACGAAAGTTCATTTAAAGCTTCAGGTCAAGAAACAGTGAGGTGGCTTCATGGATGGGGTTGATGGCCACACTTCAGGTTGGGGTTGTTGACAGCATCCCACATGAGCAGCAACTCGAGAGGCAGGTAGCGGTGGACTAACATGAGCTTGCGTAAAATGCAGGGCTGTTCAGTTTTGCCTTTGCGTAACAGGTCATTGATGCCAAGCGTCCTGAACCCATCATGTGACTTTGGGCTCAGTCCAGCCTTTTCCAGGCACATCCCAAGGAACGCATCATCGATAGGGAATAACTGCAGAGTCTGGGAAGCGTTGTAGATGGCATTGGCAGAGTAGGAAGACATGAGGATGCCCCCTCCCCCAATATAAGGCGCGTAGATATTTGAGGTGGACAATATCAAGGGGATATAGTACTTGCTCCGTTTGTCACGTACCAGCTTGTTGCCTTCAAAGAGGTATCCCACATACAGATGCTTCTGTGCCGACGCAGAGAACAACAGGAACTCCACCATGTTGTCAGTGTTAGCAAAGACGTCATCATCACCGTTGAAGATAAACTGGGCGGATGGGCAGTAATTATCCATCCACTGGAGGAACAGATACTGTTTGAGGGTTAGATTGAAGAAGGAGTCCAGGAAATCCCACTGCAGGATGTCCTGGTGCTCCTTGCTTTCTATTTCCAACAGTTGGTTCGCTTTACCCTGTTCCTGCACATCTGGGGTCTGGGCCACGATGAAGATCCTTCAGATTCTTACCCCTTGTACCTCCCGCTCCTTGCCCCACGTCTTCCGCACCATCTCCCTCCGATCATAGTTGAACGGGTTGGATTTTACCACCAGCAACAAGAAGACGTCCTCCTTACATTTGTCAGGAAGGTTGTGGAGCAGTTCAAATTCCCGGCAATGCCTGTATTTCATAAAGTTCTGGAGCTGGGCTGGTTCCTTAGAGAAGTCGGGAAGCTGGAGAACGGAGGTATTTACTTTGCAGATGGACCTTACTCTTGTCGTCTTGTATTTGCTCTGGGTGTATTTTGGGTGCCACACAGGGCTCAGGCAAGATTCTGAAATGCTATAGCTCCCAATGAAAAACAGTACAAAGATTAAACCCAGAGTCAAAGTGACAAGGAACAGAAAGACTAACCTGCTGCAATTAGGCATTCTCAATCTGAGGAGAGAGGAAGAGGGACAATAATGGTAATTAAAATAGCACATCTACAACTAATCACTCTTTTCACTCGATTATTTTCGGTTGTTGCTCTGGATTCTGAGAAGCAAATAAAGTGGCTGGATTTCAACACAAGGCAATCCTTGTATTGCAGCTGTTGCCCAGAATGTTCTATTCACTTGTCAAACCAGTTGATCTCGAAATTTTGCATTCAGCAATAAATTTACATTTGAATGGCGCCTGTTTGAACTGAACAGGATCTTGAACTGTATCTTCTGTGAGATGGGAAGTCAGTGGAGTTGGGGCGAGGATGGGGGTGATAGGGTCATGGAGCCTAGTGCGGGTTTGTGGAGTCCTGTAGCTCAGTGGTTAGAGCACTCGCTTTGCAAGCGAGAGACCTGAGTTCAATTCCCGGCAGGTCAGGGCGAAACCTTGGGCAAGTTTCCTTACTCCACACAGAGCCTAATAATAATCCCTCCAAAACCAATAATAAATTGGTCATTTTCAATCTACGACTGTTTGTGGGACATTGCTGCGCGCAATTGGCTGCGCAAAATACACAGTCAATTCACTTCAGAGTATATTCTGTGAAGTGCTTTGAGACATATTGAAGATGTGATAAGGCGCTATATCAAAGGCAAGAATTATTATTACTATCCCACCTATACACGGAAATTCCAAAGGTGTTTGTTTGTTAGGGAAGGCAGAGCTTTACTACAATGGTACTATGAAAAATCTAGGCATTTTCTACCAGAAAATATACTCGCAACCTCTGTGTTTGTGAACTTTATATTGTAAAGTGAATTGACTGTATATTTCGGGGCGGAACACATGTCAACATTACGATAATTCTCAATATTACTACTAATTAAGGCAAACTATCTTGTCATAGAATTACATGGAATACACGGCACAGAAACAGGTCATTCGGCCCAATTGGTCATGTTTATGTTCCACATGAGCCTCCTGCTGACCTTCCTCAACTAAACCTATCAGCATAACTTTCTATTCCTTTCTCCCTCATGTACTAATTTATTTTCTTTGGTGACATTTTTCTACCACACATATTCACACTAACTCACATTGACTTAGATCAGTATCAACGAAGAAGGAGTGGTAAGTGGGAAGAGGACAAGTGAAGGCAACTAGTAATCGTGGCGTCCTGTAGCTCAGTGGTTAGAGCACTCGCTTTGCAAGTGAGAGACCTGAGTTCAATTCCAGGCAGAGGGCGAAACCTTGGGCAAGTTTCCTTACTCCACACAGAGCCTAATAATAATCCCTTCAAAAAAAAACCAAAAACAATAATTAATTGGTCATTTTCAATCTATGACTGTTTGTGGGACACTGCTGTGCGCAATTGGCTGCCGCGTTCGCCCACAAATATACAGTCAATTCACTTTGCAGTATGTTCTGTGAAGCGCTTTGGGACGTCCTCCCGACGTGAAAAGCGCTATATCAAATGCAAGGATTATTATTATTATTATTATTATTACCTCCTCTATGCTTTACTACTAATAATTAGAATCCTTACAGTTGATATAGCGCCTTATCACGTTGTTGAGATGTCTCAAAGCACTTCACAGGATATACTGTAAAATGAATTGACTGTATATTAGGATTCATCTCTCCAACCGCATCGCTGGTCAACCCCATGCTCCCCTTTGCTTGACATCCAACCCTGCCACACTGCAGTGCTCTGAGATGCTATTCCGTGTGAAGGGCACTATAGAAATGGAAACGCTAGGCTGAACTCTACCTCACCAAGAGAAGTATAAGAGGAAGACAGACAAAGGAGCAGAATAATCCCTTCAAAGGTTTATTTTCCATTCCAAAAATGCACAAATCCAACCTTCACCAGACATGGTATAGGAATTACAAAGATTTATACGCTGGTGAATCCATAGAGGAAGCAAGAATTAATACATCTCAGCTTTGTGAGATCTGGGTTAACAAATAAACAAAGTATTGTTAGAATATGATATATGTAATGAAACACTTCAAGGCAGAGCTGAATAAAATTGTAAAGGTTAAGTTGTTAATTTTGTTTATATGAATCAAAATGGCGGATAATACCATTTTGTACTCGAACCATCACTCAGCATCTGTTAATAACATAAGTTATTTTTGTCTGGTTAAGAAGAAATGGTCAACATGAAATGTTGAATTAAGACAATCATTGGCCTTGGGAGGATACAAGCTGTCTTGCAATCAAAATGCCCGGTTCTTGGGCTAAACAGAAGTAACAGAGCGCTTGACTCTTTGCCCAGTTGCAAAAGGCCTACGTGCCTGATAATTGGATAAACAAAAAGGTATAAAGTTGAAAGATTGTTGACATAAAGCAGCAGAATCAGCAGGGAACCAGGCACACAGGGGCGGAGGGCCAAAGCTCGCTGACTGCTCCAGGACCGGGTAGTGTATGTTGCACGTATTCTTGCTGTGCTTACATTTGAATCAACTGAGTTAGCCACAAAACTTTATTGTCTGGTCTTTTGACTCGGGAGTTGAGATCCCAACAAATTGGCAACCGCGGCAGACAAGTGACTAACTAAATTATTCAATATGACGAGGGCATGGGAAAAGTACGAGGAGAAGATTAAAGGTTCTGTAAAAGGCAATGGAATGGGTATAGTGAGTGCACAAGACCCTTATACTCAAGCCCGAGAAAGGGTTGAGAAAGAGATGCAAGCGGGATGCCTTAAGGAAGAAGGCGTCAAAAATGAGAAGAATGAAACATTAAACAAATGTAATAATAATAATAATAATAATAATAATCCTTGCATTTGATATAGCGCTTTTCACGTCGGGAGGACGTCCCAAAGCGCTTCACAGAACACACTGTAAAGTGAATTGACTGTATATTTGTGGGCGAACGCGGCAGCCAATTGCGCACAGCAGTGTCCCACAAACAGTCGTAGCTTGATTCTGACAGGCCCTGCCAAGCGACAAAAGGCAACCCTCAAGAATAGCAACTGATGAGCAAGTTGTTTAAACGAGAGGACTTAAACTAGGATACTAATAAGAAATAACCAGTCACATAAAAGGAATACAGTAATGATCCCACATAATAAAATAATAAGCACCAGATAAAGCCCTAAACTGATCAATCTCCTATCTTAGACAGGACAAAGGGAAGACCATGGGGAGACTCAGTCAGGTTGGCACCAAGCCAAATGATTGATCAACGTGAGTACGTGACTGTATCAGGAAGGGGTAGAGGGGCCATAGGAAGGACACTTGAAGAAAGGGTATAACTATCACACCTCTAGGTTAGAAGAACAGGAAGGCTCCAGAGAGAGAGAGAGAGAGAGACCAGTTTGGAGAGTTCCCTTTAAGAATCACAAGGAAGATTTTCCGTGACGTTGTAATATGTTAATACATGTTGTGTTCACTCTGTTCATAATAAACCTTGCTACACCATATTTGGATTGTCGAGTCAAATTTTGGGCTGTGGGATCGGAAATCCAAACAATACCAAGAAACTGTAAGAGAGTTGAGGGGTCGGGTACAAGAGAATTGCTGAATTGAACTGTCGTGTGGGGGAGCAGCAGGCTGTTGTTAACTTGGCAAAGGGCAGCTAAAGAAGAACAGAAAGAAAGAGAAAGGGAAAGTGAGAGCAAAGGATCAGCAGATTAGTCGATTGCAGAAGGAGCTGAGTGACCCTCGAGGGGTGCCAGGAGAAGAATTAAAATAAATCGGGACGGGAACCGACGATCATACTAGATGCCAGGCTCAGATCAAAGATTTGCAGCGTAAGCTAGGGCAACGTCAGGCAGTCATAGTTGCAGTAACGAGAGGAGATAATGATTATGATGTAGGGCGGGATAGCCTGGAGGATAAGGCGGCCAATTATCGCGAGGATACGCCAAACTACTGTTGGGGGGCAACCCGATTAAGCCTCAATGCCCGGGCCACCGAAAGATAGAAGTGGTATATCGAAATGCCCGCACTAACCCCATAACGCATGCCGTAACAGCCCTGTATGAGGAGGAAAGACCCATTAACCATGGTGAGTGCCAGGCATTAGTACAGGCGATTTCTATGATTACTGATGAAAGAAGCCCTCTTGAATTACAAAATACGCGGGACTACTTTGTCGCTACTCACCCAGAATTGTCCGCCTCTAATTGCAAACGAGCGCTCCTAACTGCCTTCAATGCCTAACATTAAAGGACAGTTGCAAGCGGCTACTCGGTTGCCTGCCGCCACCCAACACGAACAACAACAACAACAAGATTACATTTGTATAGCGCCTTTCATGTCGGGAGGACGTCCCAAGGCGCTGGACAATGTACAGCATTGCAGACCCGAGCTGGGATCNGGGGGGGGAGAAGAGAGGGGAGGGGAAGGGGGGAGGTGGCCGATGGCATGGTCGAAGAGGAAGGTCTTGAGGCGGGACTTGAAGGAGGCTAAGGAGGGGGTGAGGCGGAGTGACTGGGGGATGGAATTCCAGAGGTTGGGGGCAGAGTGACTGAAGGTTCTCCCGCCAATAGTGGGGCGGGTGGGTCAGGGGACATAGAGCAAGTCGGAGCCAGTTGAGCGGAGGGAGTGGGAGGGTTGATAGGGGGTTAGGAAGTCGCAGAAGTAGGGTGGGGCGAGGCCATGGAGGGTTTTGTAGGTGAGGACGGGCGAGAATGGGGGAGATGGGGTCACGGAGTTTGGTGCGGGAGAGGACATGGGCTGCAGAGTTGTGGATTATCTGCAGTCTATGGAGGGAGGAGTCGGGAAGGCCGACAAGCAGGACGTTTGCATAGACGAGCTTGGATGTGATGAAGGCATGAACAAGAGTTTCAGCGGTCTGAGGGGTGAGGAAGTGGCGGAGAAGTTCTAAATGACATTCTAAATGTGCTGGCGCTGAATAATTTGAATGTCATGGATCAGGTACATCAATGCACCCCAAAGAAGGGGTGAAACAACTCAAATGTTTGAGGCTTGCCTCCATCAGACTTACGAACTGTCCCAGCAAAATGCACAGGTGGGCATGACATTCCGAGACTCCCGCCAATATAAGCGAACCTTTTTGGATAAGCTGAGTGAAAAGACTAAAACCGCGCTTGGGGTCTTGGCCTCAGTGTCCACTAAGACCCTTTGGGATGAGTTGTTGGTTAAAGTCTGTCAGGCTGATAAACTAGGTTAGGCGCTGTGAAGTGCAGGTGAAAAAGCAAGTGTGTGAGGTGGAGGACCCCTCACACTCTAACTGAAAGTCAAATAGAGCGGGTTTTGGCCGCGGACGTGGTCGACGAAACGGCACCGGGTTCCGGCGCGCTGACGCTGGACAAGGGACCAGTGATTGCGCCTGTTACCATTGCGGACGGGATGGACACTAGTCCAGGGATTATCCTGATCAGCCAACAGGTGGCTCCAAACGCCCAGACCCGTTACAAGATACATTGGAAAAACTTGTGGTGTTATTAACTGCCAAGCAGGTTACGCGGGGGGGAGCTCTACTCGTCAGGTGGCAGAAGTTAATTCCACCACCCCTTACGCTCCTCCAACGGAGGTGCCACATTGACAGGATCTGGGGCCCTGCGAGCCCGAGCTCGGGATGCATTAAGTTCCTCCCAACTCGGGATAATCGTCCTTGTATCATCGTTCGCGTACAAAGGGGCCCCTCAGCAATTGCTCTTGGTTGACTCTGAGGCGAATGTCACCATTTCACAAACCCCTGAACCTCAAAAACTATCCAGGAACCAAGGGGGAAATGGGAATCTTTAAGTGGGTTTAATGGGGGCGACTCAGAATGCGATGCAATTAAGCCAGGTTCATTTAATGGCTGGAAACATCCAGATGTGTTTGCGAGATGTGGTGGCAATGCCTATGCCTAATGGTCGAGGTCTGTTTGGGTCTGATGCTATGTGCCAATACGCAGTTACTGTAGATTATGCTAACGAATGCCTTTGGGTGCGAGGCAATAATGCAGGTTATGGCCCACACGTGATATCTGATGTATTGTCTGTCGTCGCGGTAAAAAAGCCTGAGTCTTACCCTCCACCCGAACACACAGACTTGGAGGTGCAGCAAGTGTTGGCTGATAATCTAAGTGCGATCACCCGCCATAAATATGACTGTGGCCTTCTAAAGGGGGACAAAGGCATTAACAGACCGTCCCAGGGGACAGCTAAGCAGCATCCTATCCCCATCGAAAGTCATCCCGATGTGGAGGACACTATTTCCTCTTTATTAGAGCAAGGGGTGATCCGAGAAGGCACTTTCACCACCAACTCCTCTACTTGGCCTGACGGCAGTTGGTGTCTTACTATCGATTACCGTAAATTGAATGCTATCGCTCCGGCTTCCTCCCCGGTGGTGAGTGATTCTCCCACTCTCTGGTCCCAAGTACCCAAAGGGTGGAGGAGGGGGGGGTCGCTGGTTTTCCACCTTAGATATTTCAAATGGTTTCTGGAGCATTCCCATCCAAAAAGAAGGCCAATACAAATTTACATTCACTTTCCAAGACCGCCAGTACCCCTGGGTTAGGTTACCTCAGGGGTTCCATAACTCTCCATAACTGTTTTCCCCAAGTGAATGACTGAAGTCCTTAGACCCTGCAAAAGTCCAGAGGTTTTACAATACATTGATGACATTTTGATTGTTACCGAAACTAAAGAGGAACACCTCAGGGCTCAGATGGTACCTGACGGGAAGGCCCTCACCCATCGATCCCTCCTGGCGACGATTTGGAAGACTCTCCAGGATAGACAGACACCCTTATGTCTGTCCAAAGTGAAGGGACATTCCAAAATAGACTCCAAACACATAAGGGAAAATACACAGGCGGACCACACCACCAACTGATCTATATCAAGTGATGGCGGTCCAAAGACAAAAAATGACTACCGATGATCTCGTCTCAATCCAGAATCATTGGGAGCCCTACTGTAATGTTAAAGCATGGCATGATCAGAATTGCCCTCTGCCACAACCTACCTCATGGGCTACCTCACAACGAGTGTTTCGGGACCGGACATGTCTTGATGTATGCAGGCGCCGTAGACAAGCCTTTGGTTGTGTATGTACCATCCGCCCTTTTCGGAGGATTTATTCCATCTGTTCCACACTCACCCAACAGGTGGCCACATGTCAACCGATTCCACTACTGCAAAGATTCTTACCACTGCATGGTGGCCTGCAGTCAATTAGATGTGGCCCAACCACCCAACGATGTCTTGTGTGCCTTCAACACAACCCAGGTCCCTCATTCAATAGGGCTGTCCTTTCAGCTCCTCCTCCTGACGGTCCTTGGGCACACCTCCAAATTGACTATATAAGCCCCTTACCCCAAGTACAAGGTGAATACAAATACTGCTTAGTTGTACTGGATAAATTCACCAAATGGATCAAAGCGTTCCCCACTCACATTAACACAGCCCTATATGCGGCCAAGGTACTACTTTGTGAGGTGATCTGCAGGTGGGGACTGCCTGTACAGGCAGATAGTGATCAGGGGTCACATCTTACAGGATGAATCTTTACTGAATTGCAACATATGCTGGGAATAGCACAGAAATTCCATATTGCCCACCACCCTCAATCGTCAGGAGTGGTGGAAAGGGGAAACAGGTCCCTTAAAATGTTATTGAAAAAGTATTGTGCGGATCCCACAAAATGGGCTCAGATGTTACCAATGTGTTGGATGGTCTTAGGGGCCATGCCCCATTCCACTATCGGAATATCCCCGCACCAGGCAATGACAGGCAGGGTAATGCGCATTCTGGGCCATAGTATCATACCTACCTGCACCCCTCTGACACTTGGAGTAGTTAGTGAAAATTGGGTGACGAAAATACAATACCTTTGTAGCCACTAACACGGGAAAATCTACAGTACAAACGAAAAAGCATTTTGACAAAACAGTAAAAACGTTTGAATATCAAATTGGGAATAACGTAATGGTTCGGGATTATGGCAACAAAGGTGGGCCATTCGATCCTAAATGGAAAGGGCCATTTCCCATCATTGACAAAGCCAATCCATCGGTATATTTGATACAATTTCCTCTAAAAAAGGAAATGGGAAAATTGGACGATGGCATCATATTAATCAATTGAAAACTGCTAAGGAATAATTAAAGATACTGTGCTTGATTTATTTTGCAGAAGCTGAAGGCGCAAAAGACCAAGAACGTGAAAGAATTATTGCGGTTCCTGTGGATCGGACACCTTTTCTGGCTTCATGGACGAAAACAAATCCTGACATCAATAGATGGGCGTCATATTGATTACTTTATTCTCGTATGCCTTTGTAATTGCTCATCTTATTGTACTACTTATCTTACTGATTGCTTTAACCTACCTTCGCCCCTTTACTACTAAGATGCAGTCTAAACTTCAATGTTATGAACTTGCCGCCTTGCGAAAAAACATAGCCATGTGTGAGGGATCAAGAAGGATCTTTCTCCCTCAAGGTGGGGACTGTTAGAATATGATATATGTAATGAAACACTTCAAGGCAGAGCTGAATAAAATTGTAAAGGTTAAGTTGTTAATTTTGTTTATATGAATCAAAATGGCGGATAATACCATTTTGTACTTGAATCATCACTCAGCATCTGTTAATAACATAAGTTATTTTTGTCTGGTTAAGAAGAAATGGTCAATATGAAATGTTGAAGTAAGACAATCATTGGCCTTGGGAGGATACAAGCTGTTTTGCAATCAAAATGCCCGGTTCTTGGGCTAAACAGAAGTAACAGAGCGCTTGACTCTTTGCCCAGTTGCAAAAGGCCTACGTGCCTGATAATTGGATAAACAAAAAGGTATAAAGTTGAAAGATTGTTGACATAAAGCAGCAGAATCAGCAGGGAACCAGGCACACAGGGGCGGAGGGCCAAAGCTCGCTGACTGCTCCAGGACTGGGTAGTGTATGTTGCACGTATTCTTGCTGTGCTTACATTTGAATCAACTGAGTTAGCCACAAAACTTTATTGTCTGGTCTTTTGACTCGAACAATGGGAGTTGAGATCCCAACAGTATGCAGATGACAACTGTCCCATCACAGTAAATACACCAAGGGGAGTCTCACATGAAATAATAATTTGGTCACTCAATCCTCGACTGTTTGTGGGACCCTGTTGTGCGCAATTGGCTGCCGCGTTTCCCCACAAAATTCCCAGTCAATCCACTTTACAGAATATTCTGTGAAGCGCTTTGAGACATCTCGAAGATGTGATAAGGCTCTATATCAAATGTAAGGATTATTATACATTATTACTGAGCAGCAGCAGAGTAGAGGTATGCTGTGCTTTTCAGAGCCATCCACAGACATGAAAAGTGGTATATCAAATGCAAGGATTATTATTATTATGATTATCTAGTGGCGACCATGTATTAAAACCACAGCAGTTCAGGTACTTCTAGTTCGACTGGATGTTGATGGCTCTCTCTTCATTCCAGACTGAAGGAAATTTCCACTAGAAGCTGTCTAGCCATTGCTGAGTGTGCACTGGGATAATGCCCACCTCCCCCTTCTTTATGAAAAATAATCAAGTGGCTTTAAGTTTTCATGATATACTGTATATTTTTTTAAAAAGCAGGGCAATAAGCAATATTTGCTCTCATGTTCCCCAAGTTGTATCATTCGCAGGAGAATGGTGTCTAGAATTAATATACCAACATCCCCTGTATCTCTCTCCCCACCGTATCTCCCCCCAATCCCCTCCCACACACCCCAGCCACGACAGCCCACCCCCTCCCAAAGTCTCACTACTGTACAGATGTAAGACCATTCACAGAGTAAACCTCAGAGATAGAGTCTCAACGAGACTGACAATTAAATGGCAATGTGACAAATCAAGTCAGTACATTGTGGAGGCGAGGAATTCGCAACTATCCCAGTGCAAAACTCACAACTCCCAGTCAATCACTGGTAGAAAAACTCCAACCAATCTCGAGAGGCACCAACGTTCCTTTGAAGCCTCAGGTCCACGGCCGTTAAGGTTGGTTTCTCTGTGTTTAGGAGGTGGAACCGACTTGTTGAGATGGCAGCAGGTCCGCTACGTTGGGGTGTCCTGCGATAGGCTACACTTCAGGTTGGGGTCATGAACTGCTTTCCACATGAGCAACAACTCGTAAGGGCAGAAGCGGTGGACGAGCAGGAGCTCGCGGTAAAAGCAGGGATCAAAGGATATGCGATTCGAAGATGGATCTCTGACACCAGCCGTCCTGAAGCCCATGTGCGACTTCGGGCTCAGTCCAGCCTTTTCCAGGCACATCCCAAAGAACACGTCATCGATGGGATACAGCTCCAGAGTCTGGGAAGCTTTGTAGATGGCTTTGGAGGTGAAGTACGACATGAGTATGCCCCCTCCCGCAACATAAGATGGGTAGGATTTTGAGGTGGTCACTATCTCGGGGATGAAATACTTGCTCCATTTCTCACGTATAGGCCCGCCGCCATAAATGAGGTATCCCACATACAGATGCTTCTGGCCCGACCCAGAGGACAACAGGAACTCCACCATGTTGTCAGTGTTAGCAAAGACGTCATCATCACCGTTGAAGATAAACTGGGCGGATGGGCAGTAATCATCCATCCATTGGAGGAACAGATACTGTTTGAGGGTTAGATTGAAGAAGGAGTCCAGGAAATCCCACTGCAGGATGTCCTGGTGCTCCTTGTTTTCTATTTCCAACAGTTGGTTCGCTTTACCCCGTTCCTGCAGGTTTGGGGTCTGGGCCACGATGAAGATCCTTCGGATTCTTACCCCTTGTATCTCCCGCTCCTTGCCCCACGTCTTCCTCACCATCTCCCTCTGATTATAGTTGAACAGGTTGGATTTTACCACCAGCAACAAGAAGACTTCCTCCCTACATTTGTCAGGAAGGTTGCGGAGCAGTTCAAATGCCCGGCAATGCCTGTATTTCAGATAGTCCTGGATGTGGGCTAGCTGCTCAGAGAAGCCGGGAAGCTGGAGAACGGAGGCATTTACTTTGCAGACGGATCCCGTTTTTGTTATCTTGGCTTTGGTCACGGTAGACTTTGGGAGGAGTACACGCCTGAGGGCAGCCTTTTGAACGTGGCTGTGTGTGGCTGATTCCTTTGGACTGCACAGTAGAAAGAGTATACCAAAAGACCCGACCATCATGAGCAGAATCATTTCAAAGAGTGTCTTGTACAATTTCTTCATTCTTCACCTGAGGAGAATTAAAGGACCACAGTAAACACTTTTTCTTTCTTTCTTTCTTTCTTTCTTTCTTTCTTTCTTTCTTTCTTTCTTTCTTTCTTTCTTTCTTTCTTTCTTTCTTTCTTACTACTTTTCTTTCTACCTTTCTACCTTTCTTTCTTTCTTTCTACCTTTCTTTCTTTCTTTCTTTCTTTCTACCTTTCTTTCTTTCTACCTTTCTTTCTTATTCTACTTTTCTTTCTACCTTTCTTTCTTTCTTTCTTTCTTTCTACCTTTCTACCTTTCTTTCTACCTTTCTACCTTTCTACCTTTCTACCTTTCTTTCTTTCTTTCTTTCTTTCTTTCTTTCTTTCTTTCTTTCTTTCTTTCTTTCTTTCTTTTTCTCTCTCATTCTACCTTTCTTTCTACCTTTCTTTCTACCTTTCTTTCCTTATATAACATGCTTACTTACTTCAAGAGGTGTGCCAAATTCAGAGAATGAGACTAAATGACAGGAATTTAACCCAAAGTGTTATGTTAAGCAACATGATTAGTCCAACCTCCTCTGACCTCCTGTAAAACCTGTTCAGCAAGTGTCTCCTGTTAGTTTGGAAGCTACAAGGAGGGTCAGTCCCAAAAGTTTACAATAATAAAAATAATAATAATAATAATTTGGTCACTCAATCCACAACTGTTTGTGGAACACTGCTGTACTAATTGGCTGCCGCGTTTCGTCCACAAATATATAGTCAATTCACTTTACAGTATATTCTGTGAAGCGCTTTGAGACATTTAGAAGACATGAAAAGCGCTATATCAAATGCAAGGATTATTATTATATCACTTGTCTAATGCAACCAACAGGGGTGGGGTTATTTGTCTCCAGGTTGTGGAGGAACCCCAAACGTTCTTGGTCCCCAGGTCTCCAAGAAATCTTAATATGGTTTGGGGTTCTGTCTAACCATTCAAGTGGATGGCACTATTAGGAAAGAGAAGAGAGTTTCTACCGAGGTGTCCAAGCCTAGAATCTGCCAGTAAAATTTGTCACTGTTTGACCAATTGCTGTGTGCAAATTGGATGCCTACTCCTCCCTACTTGTAGGCAATGTATCAAATGAAAGGACTATTATCATTATTATTACTTATTAACAATAATAATCCTTGCATTTGATATAGCTCCTTATCACTTCTTCAGGACGTGTCAAAGCGCTTCACAGAATATACTGTAAAGTGAATTGACTGTATATTTTTGGGGCAAAACCCGGAGGCCAATTGCGCACAGCAGTGTCCCACAGACAGTCATCGTTCGTGTGACCACATTTTTGCTTTGAAGTGATTAGTACCCCCGGAAAGCTATCTGCCAATCGACTAACAACCGGGTTCCTACTTACGTCTAGGTCAACAGAGGCGTGTGGAGTTAGGAACCTTGCCTAAGGTTCTTGCCCGGAAATTGAAACCAATGTCCTCTAGGTTAAGGCAAAATATGCCAAACCATTTCAGCATTTTCCACAGTTCTTTGGTGACATTTTTTCCAACCACACTTGGAAATAGCCTCCAACATTCACGCAAGTCACAAGCATGATATTACCCACTCTGATGTATATCAGCTCCAGGGAGGAGTGCAAAGTGCTGTATTTTAAATTTTCTTCCACATTTCAAGGACCAGCTTGCGAGGGGAAGAAAGTGCTTTTCAACTTCCCTCTTCTCCTTCCTGTTCTCAAAGGTTATTTTCTGAGCTAGCCTGTATCTCCTCTCTCTGTGAGCAGAGATAGTGCTGATTTGTTGTTATGTGTGATAGTTCTTCACTGCAGAAAAGTACAGTTCCACGTGTATGCAGATGACACCCAATTCTATTTTTCCACCTCTCTTTGCGACCCCCAGTCCCCTGATGTTCTGCCTGTCAGATCTCAGGGGCTGGATGAGCGCAAACTTCCTTCAGCTGAACGTTGACAAGACGGAAGCCATACTCTTTGGCTCTCGTCAATGTCTAAAATCTCACGGCTCTCACCTCCTCCACCTACCCGACCTCCCGCTAAAACTCTCTGAACCCGTATGCCACCTAGGCAGCAGTTTCGACCCCCAATTATCCTTCCTCCCCCACATCCAGTCTCTCACCAGCACTGCCTTCTACCACCTCTGACACATCGCCCGTCTCCGCCAATATCTCTCCCAAAAAGCCGCTTTGGTAATCTTCCTCCCCCTCCCCCGGCTCGGTCCCGGAATCCGTTATCGTAAAGCGCTCTGAGACGCTGTCTGGCGTGGAGGACGCTATATAAATCCAAGTTGTTGTTGTTGCTCAGCTTGTAAGACATCCAACAATGATTCTCTAGTGTCTAGATCTGCTGTAGTCAGCCCGGATGAGTCATAAAATGGCCTGTCAATCATCACCGTGTTCTAGATGACTGCGTGTGTCAAATAAATGTTTCCAGTAGCTATCAATCAAGAACAATCAAGAACCAAAGTTGTCCCACCACTGTTCCAGATCATGTCCTGGGGTGAATATTTTCACCTACTTCTTTCTAGAACACTTTCACTTACGTTTTTTCCCCCGGAGATGTTCCGAATTCAGATCAATAAATAAACTGACCGGTATTTAACCGCCCACCCACAAAGCAATTGTTATATTGCATGAAGTGTCTCAATCTGCTGTGATCCATTGGAGTGTTGATTGAGTGGTTTAGCAAGATAAATTATCTGTTAAAAAGGGGCATTCGTTATGAACCTTTCAGGTATTGGAAGTTTTTGTTTGGAGGCAGTGCTTGCTCCCCATGGTAAGCTTTGGGTGTTTAGCTGGTTAAGACTCCAGCAATATCCTCAATGCACATCAATGCACAAACTCATCACAGAATACTTTTCATCCAGGAATAACGTGCTTACTCTATTCTTAACGCAGTTAAATGGTTTAGAGGAGGAGAAATGTGGCAGAATGTTTTAAGTGAGCAAACAGGTTTTGCAAAACCATCCAAGCTAGTTTTATAATAATCCTATATAGTAATAATCCTTTCATTTGATGTAGCACCTTCTCACGTCTTCGAGACGTCTCAAAGTGCTTCACAGAATAAACTGTAAAGTGAATTGACCGTGTATTTTGTGGGCAAAACGCGGCAGCTGATTGTGCACAGTGACGTCCCACAAACAGTCGTGGATTGAGTGACCAATTTATTATTTTTTTAAAGGGATTATTACCCCTGGAGAAATGATCCATCAATCGACTAACAACCGGGTTCCTACTTACTGCTAGGTAAACAGAGGCGTGCGTTGTAAGGAAACTTGCCTAAGGTTTCACCCTACCAAGAATCAAACCCTTGTCCTCTCGCTTACCAAGCAAGTGTTCTAACCAGTTTCAATATTTTCAATATTATTTAGTGACATTTTTTTGACCACATCCTGTTTGCGTTTTACCAAAACCGTCATTCATGTTTCTCAATCACATTAATTAAAACCCCACACTAATGTGGATCAATGGCAATGAGGAGAAAAGTGGGGAGGGGGAGGGTGTGTAGGGGGGAGTGGGGAGAAGGAGGCAGGGGAAGAGCAAACAAAATTAATAATTGTCACAATGCAAAGCCCTGAACTATTGTATTATGAGTCATCGTTTTCTGTGAGTTGGCAAGCACTCTGGGGTGCTGTTATTGTTAAGGCTTCCAGTTGCTAGTTGACTAGCAGATCGCTTTTCCAGGTGTAATAATCCCTTCGAAAAAATAATAATAATTTGGTCACTCAATCCACGACTGTTTGTGGGACACTGCTATGCTAAGGGTTATTATTATTAACTCCTGCATGAGATGCTAGAAAATATCTTCTCAGTTTGTAAGCCACCTGGCAATATTTATCTAGATTAATCCCTGAGATATTATCTTCGGTGAAGTGCCACTTGTAGTTATTAGTTCTAGTGAAAGGTTAATNAAAAACTGGTTTATAATCTTTAGATTAATGGCAGCCCTGGACGCTAGACCCCAGCGGAAGAATACAATGCAAAGCATTATAGTCTTAAATTAAAGCTAAACCTGGTACAATTGAGATAAGAGATCATTTGCTTACATTGCTGTGAGATTGTGGAATTCTCTGATACACAAAGCCACATAGACAATTGTGTTATTTGAAAAGGGGACAGAGAATTGCAAATTGTTTTTTTGGTCAGCAGGGTGTCTGCCGATGATCCAGGCTGTCTGTGCGAAGTGTCAAATCCAAAGAGATAGGACCGAAAAATAATAGAAACAGAGAAAGAACATAAGAACATTAGGAGCAGGAATACTCAACCTCTGCTCATACATCAACCACCTCATCCCAGGAACCAACCTAGTGAACCTACATTGCACCCCCTCTAAAGCGAGTTTATCCTTTCTTACAAAAAGTAGAGGGAACCAAGAAGCCAATGTTAGTGAGCAACTTAGGAAAATTAACATCAGTAAAGAATTAGTACTAGAGAAACTGTTGAGATTAAAAAATGACAAATCCCCTGGACCTGATGGCCTGCGTCTTCAGGTTTTAAAAGAGGTGGTTGTAGAGATAGCAGATGCTTTGTTTTTGATCTTGCAAAATTGATCTTGGATTCTGGAATGGTTCCCATTGATTGGAAGGTCGCAAACGTAACACCACTATTTAGGAAGGGTGGGAGAGAGAAGATGGCGAATTATAGACCAGTCAGTCTGACATCGGTGGTAGGGAAAATTCTAGAATCCTTAATTAGGGACATTGTAGTGGGATACTTAGGACCATAATATGATTAGGCAGAGTCAACATGGCTTTACAAAAGGGAAGTCATGCTTAACAAATCCTTTAGAGTTTTTTGAGGATGTAACTAGCAGATTAGATAGGGGGGGAAACCAGTAGGTGTACTATATTTAGATTTTCAGAAGGCATTCGACAAGGTGCCACATAAAAGGCTGCTACACAAGATTAGGGCACATGGAACTAAAGGCAATGTATTAGCATGGATCGAAGAGTGGCTAACGGGAAGAAAACAGAGAGTAGGGATAAACGGGTCCTTCTCAGATTGGTGGGATGTGACGAGTGGAGTGCCACAAGGATCAGTGCTTGGGCCTCAAATATTTACAATCTATATCAATCTAGAAAAGGACATAGAACTTAAAATATCTAAATTTGCAGATGATACTAAGCTAGGTGGGAGAGTAAGCTTTGAGGATGACAATATTCCAGGTGCGATCTCACCAAGGCTCTATACAATTGCAGCAAAACTTTGCTACTCGTGTACTCTAACTCCTTTTCAATAAGTGCTGACATGCTATTAGCCTTTCTAATTGCTTGCTGTACCTGCATTCTAACTTTCTGTGATTGGTGTACAAGGACACCTAAATCCCTCTGAATACTGACACGACCTAACCTTTCCCCATCGAGAAAATAATCTGCTTTTATATTTTTTCTACCAAACTTCACACAGAAACAGATAAATCCAGATAGAAGAGAGAGAGAGAGATGTATAGACAGAGACAAGGCAAGAGAGAGATAAGATATATACACACAGAGAAAGTCAGACCAGCAACTTGCATTTATATAGTGCCCCTCAGGGAGGATAGAATCCCAGAGCTTCTCTTTCTGCTGTCTGTTCACCGAGCAGACAAACAGGTAGATAGAGATAGGGTGACTGAGAGAGAGTCAGCGAAAGACATCAGAAAAGAATGAACGACGGAGACAGCAACACTGAGTGGAGTAAGAAAACAGACCACCAATAAGTTTTTACAAAATGGCAATCAAGCTACACCCAGAGCAGAAACATAAAATGATAATGGGAAGGACTCTTAATACACAGATTCTGATTATTATTACATTATCATTGCCGGACTCCGGTTGCCTGCAACAAGTCGTTTAGAAAAATTAGAAATTTGCGGCCAAGGTCGATTAAGGAAAGAGAACATACCCGGTGCCAAGTGTAGGTAATTATGCGATTACCTTTCAGTATCAGAAAACTGGAAAGCTCTCTCTGAGAACTGGATAATGGGACGCAACGAGCGCTCCACTCCGCAGTTGGCTTGTCGACAGAAACAGTCAATTTGCTGGCACCGGCACGATAAACCTTAAACTCTAGCTGATTGAAAGCGGCTGAAAACAATCGCTAGCCACAAGGATTGTAATCTGTCGGATCTCGTAGCCTCCACTTTAACTCGCAACCAGCATACCTGTGAGGCAAATCTGCAGAAAGCAGCAGAGGTAGCTGTTGCGTTAACCCTTTCTGTTCAGGAGCAGGAAGCTCAAAATAATTTTTAAGCCATAAGGATACTTGCACATTTGTTAAACGTGTTGTTGTTTTTTTGTTCTCTCGCCAGTGAGGCTCAGAATTCCAGCCTGTGGGAGCGGATTGTCAACATCGACGACAACTTGCATTCGTACATCTCCCCGTTCGCGTGGGATAACGTTTCGGAGCGCTGGGCAGTGGTCGGGTCAGACGACAAGAAGAGGGAGAATCGGGAAGACGACCGGATGCAGTCGAAGAGGCAGGTTTTTAGTGGGATTTGAAGATGGCGAATTCGACTTTTAAAAAAAATTGCCTCCTTCAAGATCCTCCTCTTCGCCTGAGCCTCCTATTCCCTCCTGATCACAAACCCCAATTCAGGTCCAAATCGCTGACGCTCCAGCCTGGGATGTCCTTCTGACGTGAAAGCCGCTATACAAATGCAATTTGTTGTTGTTGGTTTTGTTGTGGGTGGACCTCGGTCTTCTTTCCGCTTCCTTAAAGCCCAGGCGCGTTCCGATAAGCGCACCTGGTTTAAATCAAATCTAACTGTCCACCGGCAGATTTGGCTGGACCATGTCAAATCCTACCACTCCGCTCTCACCTCCACTAAATCGTCGTTCTACTCCTAGACAATCTTGGAGGCTAAGGACAACCCCAGGCTCCTCTTCACCACCACGAACCGACTCCTCCACCCACCCTCTCACGCCTCACCTCAAATGACAACTGCGAGACGATACTAGACTTCCTCGAATCCAAAGTCAAGGGAATCTGCTCAGCTGCCTCTGGCACTGCAACTGTTACCCCTTCCCCATCTCCCCCTCCCAGCCCCTACCCACCCCTCCCTTCACACCTTTGAACCTATCTTCCCCTCCGCTCTCACCACCACCATAACCCGTATGAAACCCACCACCTTGCTAAGCCAGACTTCCTGCCGACGTGACAGGTGCTATACAAACGCAAGTTGTTGTTGTTTGTTTCTTTCCCCCGGGAGAAAAACCCCTGAGATAGACCGAGAGCAACAGAGAAAAAATGGGATTCATCCTCAGGTCCTACAAGGTGAGGACGTGACGCAGGTCAGGATTCAGGATTGAGTGACTAGAACTCGTGGTTAAGTAACATGGGGGGGGATCGCATCCCGGAGCGCTTGACAGTGGCGGAGTCTGACCCCGAGCCAGGGGGAGGGGTGAGGTGACCGTAAGCACTACCCCCCACCTCCTCTCCTTAAATTGATGTGATCACACAGTGTACCGGGTAGAGGTGTGTTGCCCTGATGGAGTGGAGGCAAACAGCAGAAGCTACACGGTGTTGTGATAGACACTGCACATGACTACCACTCTGCCACCCTCCATTTCTGTCTCTGTCTCTCTCTCTCTCCCTCTCTCTCACTCACTTTCTCCCAGCGAGGCATGGAGAGGAGTGAGGCAAGAGGGTCTCCTGGCTCCGAGGTGATGTGTCGGAATCGATCCCACCCTCTGCAGCGGTCTCCAGTCTGGTTCCTGAGGCAGGCGGGTCCACAGTATTCCAGGGCGACTCTAGCGCAATCCAGCTCATGACTCATCAATCAACAGATACGATGCTCTCACTGACAAACTATGTTGTTTTACCTACTTAGATTCCAGTTAGCTCAGTTTGCCCAAGCCTTTGTACGAGAAATAATCAATTACATTTTCTAACAATCCTTCCCTTTTGTCTTCCTCCCTTCTTTCTTCTCTCCTTCTGCGCCTCTCCCCTCTCTTTACTCTCTGCTTATTTTCTCTTTCCCCAATTCCTAACATTACCCACTCTCTCTCTCTCTCGTTCTCTCGCTGACCCGCGCCCCTCCCCCCCAAAAAAAGGTTTAATGGTCTGGATAAGATCCCCCTCTATCTCTTCAGTGACTGTGTGCCTGTGGGTCTGTACATAGTGTATCGCAGTCAACACAATGTCCTGGCTGCTCATTTCAATCTGAGTTTCTAGTCAGGACTCTACAAACCCAAACCAGTTGCGTCATTTTCAATTTACAAAAACAAGGGTCCTTGAATAAGTGCAATAGATGATGGTCAATGCTTTATTTTAAGGATGGAACCAGCAGCAGGACAGGGCTCAAGAAACACTTGTGCTCTTAACATTAAGTCACCGCATCGCCTGCTAATTTCACAACTCGTCCCTCCCGGCTCAGACGATCCCTTTGCTCCTCTGGAACTTTCCCCTCCTCTATCACCGCTCCAATCTTTCCCTCAAACTTCTCCTTATCTACTGCTCCCCCTCTCTCTCTCGCCTGCCTCGGAGTTATCTGAACTCCTTCCCCTCTGGGCGTCCTCCTGCAATGATCTATCCTCCTCAGTCAAACTTCTCCACAGCTCCCTCCTCCACTCTCAATTCCCTCGCTCCCCTCTCTTCCTGAACTGTCTCCTACTCACGCAAATCACCCTGGTACACCAGCCACCTCCGCTCCCTTAAAGCCCAGGCACGTGTCAAATCCTACCACTCTGCCCTCGCCTCCCCTAAATCATTGTTCTACTCCAAGGACAACCCCAGGCTCCTCTTCTCCATCACAAACCGACTCCTCCGGCCACTCTCTCACGCCTCACCCATCCTCACCTCAAATGCCAACTGCGAGGCGAAGCTGGACTTACTCGAATCCAAAGTCAAGGGAATCTGCTCAGCTGCCTCTGCCAATGCAACTGCTACCCCCTCCCCATCTCCCCCTCCAACCCCAGCCCCTACCCACCCCTCCCTCCACACCTTTGAACCTATCTTCCCCTCCGCTCTCACCACCACCATAACCCGTATGAAACCCACCACCTTGCTAAGCCAGTCTGGAACCTTGGGGTCTTGTTTGACCCTTAACTATCCTTTCTACCCCACATCTGCGCCATGACCCGATCTGTCTTTCCCCACCTCTGCAACGTCGCCCGACTCCGACATTGTCTCACACCACAGGCTGCTGAAACCCTCATACACGCTTTCATTGCACTGAGGCTCGACTATGCAAACTCCCTGCTTGTCAGCCTTCCCAAATCCTCCCTCCATAGGCTGCAGATCATCCAGAACTCTGCAGTCTGTGTCCTCTCCCGCACCAGGCTCCGCGACCCTATCACCCCCATCCTTGCCCGACTCCACTGGCTTCCCATCACACAGAGAATACAGTTCAAGATCCTGGTCCTCACCTTCAAAGCCCTCCACAGTCTTGCTCGTCCCTACTTCTCCGACCACCTAACACCCTACCACCCTGCTCGCTCCCTCCGCTCAGCGGGCTCCGGCCTGCTTCACGTCCCCCACCTTGCTTGCCCCACTACAACAACAACAACAACAAGATTCCATTTATAAAGCGCCTTTCACGTCAGGAGGACGTCCCAAGGCGCTGCACAGTTGGGTCATGACCCGAGCAGGGGGGAAATGGTCAGGGTGAGGGGAGGGAAGGGAGGGAGCGAGGAGGGGGAAGAGAGTCGAGAGGGGAGCTGAAGGCACGGTCAAAGAGAAAGGTTTTGAGACCGGCCTTGAAGGAGGAAAGGGAGGAAGCGGCGAAGGCACTGGGGGATGGAGTTCCAGAGCCTGGGGGCTGAGAGGCTGAAGGCCCGACCACCGATGGTAGGGCGGTTGGGGCGGGGGACGTGGAGCAGACCGGAGCCAGAGGAACGGAGGGTACGGGCAGGTAGGTAGGGGGATAGTAGGTTGGAGAGGTAGGAGGGAGCAAGGCCGTGAATGGCCTTGTAGGTGAGGATGAGGATCTTGAAATCAATCCTCTGGGGGATGGGGAGCCAGTGGAGGCGAGCGAGGGTGGGAGTGATGTGGTCGCGGTGTCTGGTGCGGGACAGTACACGAGCTGCAGAGTTCTGAATGACCTGCAGTGTGGAGGGAGGTGGCGGGAAGGCCGGCGAGGAGAGAGTTCCCATAGTCCAGCCTTGAGGTGACAAAGGCGTGGACCAGGGTTTCAGCAGCGTGAGGGGTGAGGTAATGCCGTAGTCTGGCGATGTTCCGAAGGTGATGGAAGGCGGTGCCAGTTGTGGTGCGGATGTGAGGGAGAAAGGACAGCTCAGGGTCGAACAAAACCCGAGGTTCCTGACTGGCTTTGAGAGGTGGAGAGTGCAGCCTTGGATGCTGATGGTGTCAGCGCCTGAGGTGCGGAGGCGTTGACGTGAGCCAATCAGGAGGGCCTCGGTTTTTCGCACGTTGAGCTGAAGAAAGTTGTCTCTCGTCCAGGACTCGATGTCGGACAGGCAGCTGTCAGGACATCGGTGGTCGTGGAGTTGAGAGTAGAGGAGGAAAGGTAGAGTTGGGTGTCATCCGCATACATGTGGACGTTAACTCCATGTCTGCGGATGATGTCACCGATGGGGAGCATATAGAGGGTGAAGAGGCGGGCGGGCCTTCTGCCACTCTGAACCCACCCTCTGAAACTCCATTTCGCAGTCCCTCCATCTCACCCCTTCCCTCGCCACCTTCAAGACCCACCTCAAAACCCTCCTCTTCAACCGTGCTTTCGATCTCCCTGCTTCCCCCCATTTCACACCCGAGTGGATCGTTATACAGTTTTACCTAAAAGATTCAACCTCATAATTGTCCCATTGAAAACCTGCAACGAAACACTGTATTTTTCCACCCCTTATCGGCATTCAGGGTCAACTTGGACAGAGGAGAATTTGACTTGGAAAGTTTTGCATGTCTGAACACAGAGAACCTGCTGTCGCCAAGGAACCATGACAAAACAACAGCTGACGTTTTGGTATTAACACAGAGACTGAAGAGAACACTACCCACAACCCTCACACAAACACACACCCCACCCTCCGCAGTATTTCAGCAATAACATTTCCAGTTTCACACCTGCTGCTTTCATATCATGTGGTCACAATGCAAAGCCTGCTGATGCCTTCTAGCCCACATGCCAGCCCACCCACCATCCTTTCGTTCCCCAAAGTGAGTTGACGTTGTGACGGCATCCGGTGAGGTTTGCAGTAGAAGGTTCAAGCCCTGTGTTCGGACTACTTCACAGAGCCTA